ATTTTTTAATATATTTTCTATCGTTTTTAATAAAAATAATTTATTAAAATTACTAAAAATAATTTTAAAAAATTATATTTAAAAAGTAGTGTTAAAATGAACGATACGTTAAAGCGCCATTTTAAATTTTATTTAATTTAAAATATTTAATAAAAATTGGTTTTAAGGTAAGGATATGATATTTTTTAACCCTTTACCTTGAATAAAATTTTATAACTATGATAATGTCCTTTTAATCCTACGTTACGCTACTTCCAGATGTTTGTCTACTCTATCATTAAATCAAGTAAGGAGTGTGGGAAAAATAAGAAAAATAATCATTTCACTCCTTAATAATAATAAAAAATCGCTTATTTTGATTTTATTTTAATATTTTTAGCACAAAAAATTATATTTTTCTTGTTTAAATTTGAAATCTACAACTGTATTTTGACATTCGCTTCTTTAATTGGATAAGAACGAGTCAATTTCAAACGGTTAACCGAAATCATTTTTTAAAAAATCAATTAGATAAACACCTAAAAAAATGTAAAAAAAATAATAAAAATAATAACTTTTTATTATTTAATTTACTTAAATGGAAATTTAACAATAAATATACGTGTAAAATGCCCGGTATTTTTGATAAATAAAGAAGAATTTTTCAAATTTAATAATGTAATTTCGGCCATTTTGAAGCGATCCAGTTTATTATGATTTAACAATTGACAGATACAACGGAATACGTTTGATATGCATATGAATCGGTTTTGAAAATTATTACACTATTGTCACGCTACTTAATAAATTCCATCGACACATTTGAGAGGAAACAATACTAAAGGACGAATCAAATACCTTTTATCATAAATTTAACACGAATTATTGGATGTAGTAAAGGTAATTTGCAGTGTAGATTCATTATAATGGAGTTTTAAAAAGTATAATTTTAAGTAGGAGCCATATGGCCGAATACAATGCAATCGAATGTAGCTCATACAGGGGATATTTTGCCCCCTTTTTCATTTTTCACTTATGAGAATTGGGATCTAGAATGCTCGCTTTGCTTTCATTTATCAACTGGTGCGAAATTAGAAAAGGAACAAAGAACTGGTGACTCCGACCACTTCGTCATCCCTGGAAACAATGTAGGTGCCGTGTGGGTTCGCTTCTTCCTTCTCCACACGACAATTAAACTAGACTGCTGGTCAGGTAAATCCGCCCTTTTCAACCCTACAATAGACAAAAACCGTTCTTGGAATGACCGGTCTGGTAATTTCAGCTAACTACATTCGTTTTTGTTGTTGCAGGATGTTTTGTGCTTGTTAATACACCGGTTCTAATCATTTAAAAAGAAGAAATCCTCTTTCCTCCTATATTCCAATGGACTTTAAAAGAAGAGAAAAGAAGGACTATTGAAAGAAAATTCGATTAATTTTCCTGGTGTTTTTATAAGCAGAAGTGCTTACTTTTCGGAATAAACATCAGCACTTATTCTTTTGTGGCCATTTGACACTGTTCGATTCGTATCTTTAGCGGGGTGAAGTTACCGGATAGTTGCATGTCCCACGGCTGACTAAAGCATAAGAGCAAATCTCACCTGACGTCAAAGATGTCAGATGACCTCTCGTTGGTCCACAGTTCACACGCTGCCCACCAAATCGAGCTGACGGTTCAGATCAACTAACTTGGCCTCTAGGCCTTCTTGTAATTGTATCCTCTGCACTTCTTCAAAAGTGGATGTATTAGTTACATGTTTACCTCACTGACTTTAATACGCGTTTAAAAGAGAAAAAAATAGAAGAAATTCAACACATAACACATATCTTGATCCCAATTACCTTTGAAGAAAGGCCCTATTCTTCCTCGTGGCGCGAATCGAGATTCGCAGTTTGATAAGTTTATGAAGAAATCGGTTTGACAGGTTGGATCGTAGCGTAAGAAACGTACAAAAAATACATTAATTAGCTAAATATTTGTGTAATTCTCGTGTAAAACGCAGCCGTAAAAGCTTTAAAGAAGCTCCTTATAATCGTGTCTGCCAAGAATTCAAACTAACGGACAATAACGAAGGAAGGAGGAAAAAAATTCAGAGGAGGTGTGACACATGGGAACGTAAAGATAGGAATCTGTCACCGGATCTATTGACAGACCTACTGTGCTTTCAGTATTAACAATGTCCCCACAAAATTATAGGTCTTTTACAAATGGTAGAAAATTCTGTCTGCAGCTAATCGAAACGGGGAAGAAGTGTCTGTGCCAAAACTGGTATATGGCTTTTTTTTATACGTACACAAAAGCTAATAACGTCTAGAAGATCGGGATGGCGAGAAACTGATACACTAGATAAAACTATAATTATTAAATACGGACATGTACTTACCATTGTGAAGACAAGCAATGTAAGCGCAAAGTTGTGAAGACGATGCAAGGCACTCTACTAACAGCTGGGGTCCCCCATTGTCCCTGAGCAGTCCCGTGAAGTGAAGGCACAGGTATGGGGGAACTAGTGGATTGTTTTTAGCGCCGACGACCCAGATGCCCCCTGGTCAGGTAACGTATCGTAGCTGTGTAGTGGCAGAAATGGTCGACCAATTGCTAGCGGGAATTTTTTTATTTTTTTATTTTTTCACTAGTCCCGATGAATGGCGATACACAGGTGAAAAACCCACCCTTGTCACACGACCAAAGTCGGTCTCCTAAATTCCTTGCTCACTCCACGATAGAAATTGTTCTGCATGCTTTGATTTAATAACTCGTCTTCCCCCACGACCACGAGCACGTGACAACGGACCCCTTTCTTCCCCCACGGATGGCATCTGATTGGTGAAACGGTTACTCCCCGAATAACTTCCGTTCTGAAGTACGCTTATCTCCGTAACTTCCACGGATAATCCATCAGTCTGGTCGTGTGATAAATTTACCGGAAGTTCATCCCCTGGTGGACACTGTCGACACTATGTGAACAACGGTCCCCGTGTGACGTCAAGAAAAAAAGGGGGAGATGCTGAAACAGGTAGGATCCCCAACGGTAGCTACGATTAGCTCACGATGTTCCTTTGGGCAGAGAAGCTTGCCAACCTGTTTAATACCGTCTGACAAGGTACAGATCCAACTCCACCCCAAGTTGTTTGCGCGCCGCTTGACTGATTCAATGCAAGCGGATTCGTCCAATAGTTTGCTTAAAGTGGCCACTCGAGAGCAACAAGCGGCCCTTCGCTACTTTTCTACACTTGATTTCTTAAACCTCTTCTAGATTAAGTAAATCCGCAACTAACTAGAGGCAGGATCACGTGTTAAGTCTCGTTTTCTTGGCAGTTTCAAGGGTTTTTTTCGGAGGGGTGCCATACTTTTTTTCCTTCAAACACTCTCCTTACGCCTTCAAATCGTCGCTTCCTGTTGATATTAAAAATAATGTGATAGTGGAGGGGTTAAAGACAATGTTATCAAACCGGGGTGGTTTCAGGATTGCCTATTGTTCCAAAAATGACATGTCGGAGAGGCTATTTGTAAGCCTCCTACTCCTATCTTGGATATGGTAATGAGAGTTATAAAAATTATATTATTTTTTAAAATATTTTACGATACGAGGTCTGCTGTTAAGATCTTAATTCCTAACCAATTTCAGCAATTAACCACAATTGAGTCATCGAATCCCATTTTTCAGGGGGGTGCTCCACTAACGCCATCTAGCGCTCAGGGGGTTAATCAATCAAGTAGAATATACTTTTAAATTACGTCATTTTAATAATTAACAAGGAATTTAAACGCTTTTTAAATGTCATTTTTAAGGTTTAATGGCTTTAAAAAATTGTTTTTAACAGCGAATTTACGCATTTTAATTTCAAAAGAAAAATTTAATTAAATAGAATAATTTATTTTTCTATTTACTCGAAATTAAAACGAATTTTACGAATATTNTTCTTTGAGCCACTTACACGATAATTTCTACTGCCCATTAAATCCTTCAACGTATTCTCTAAGCGATCCGAACCCTGGATAATTCAAAAAACACTTGAACTTTACAGAACTTTTTTTTCCCCTAAAAAACCCTTAGTTGCTTCCGTAGGTGATATAGGGCATTCATCATAATTGCTATCTTTCTGCCGTTTTAAAACAGTAAGGTGCCTCTCTGACCATAGGGCAAAGCTCAGGACTAGTGATCCACACCCTACTCGGACATACCCTAATTGCGTATCTGGATACAAGCTTCTAAAAAGTCCCTCGGGTCGTTTATAAGCTTACTGAATTCAGGTAGGAAGTCTTGCTACTGCTCTACTAAGAGTGGGGTGTGATCTTCCTTATAATGAACAAAAACATTCAAGGAAAAACTAACTTATAAGGGTTATCTTGTTACCTCTTAAATCTTTATAAAGTAACGTCTTCATACAGTACTTTCTACGCCGAGTTTAAGCAACAATTCTTTATGTGTTTACAACGTTTTGATTACAAGGCCATAGCTTTAACCTTGAAGGCCATAAGTAATTCTTATTTATATTTTAATTTTTAAATTATTAACGAAGCGGAATAGAAAAATAAAATGAACGAGGGAGGAAAAAATAAAATAAAAATAAAATTTAAATACCTTGAGTTAAATTTGGATGTAACGAAGCAGAATTAAGTAAGTGGTCAGGGAAAAGTGCTAAAATAATTTACACAAATCTATCGAAACGGAAGTAAAATCTAATAAGATTTTTAATTTGACATATGACCAAATGGCCAACTTAATCAGAATTAAAATTAATGGATTTTTACAGTTGGATAATTCGATCATCGCCCTTTACTTTAGCTTGATAATGTTTCCAGTCTTTCCTGTCAGAAAAATATATTCTATAGTATTTTTTAAAATGCAAAATATATTCTAGACAATTCTAGAAGCGTAATAAAGGATACTAGAACTTATAAACTTGTCCTAGAAAATCCTAGAGGTTGTTAGAAATACCTTGTATTGTATAGGTGGTAATGAGTGCATTCTAGAGATTTAGAAATAAAAAATGCATTCTATAATATCTTAAAAGTTTGATAAACGTGTTTGAAGGATGCGAGAAGTAAAAAAATTATCCTAGAAAATTCTAGGATTGTCTAAAATAACTCCAGAAGTGATTGAAATGGGATGCTTTCCTGATGATTATATAAATGCTAATGAATGTATACTGGGATTTACAGATAGAACGGTATCCTAGAAAATCTTTAAATACGTTTGCAGAAGTCTATAAGTGGATAACTTAGTCCTAGTTATACTTAGGAACGATTATAGTAGGCTACCATAAAGATTATACTGTAGAATATACTTTAAAGGTGTTAAAAGCGCTATAAAATATGTGTTTCGAGGTGGTAGGAGTGATAAATGTAACCTATAGGATCCTAACGTAACAGGAAAGGCTTTCTAGGAGTTATTAAAAATAAAAATTCACCCAGATGTTAAAAGTGGAACAAGTATGCTACATTTGAGGCGCTTTATGAGATGCTAGAGGCATTATAAGTGAATTTTTCGCGCTTGTGGGATGCTAGAAATGAAAAAATATGTTTTAAAAATGCATAAAATGCAACATACACTGAATATAAATTATAATTAAGGCCTATGAGATGTAAGCTCTACATTAATTATAATTACGCGTATATCTGTTTCATACGTTTAATTCTGTCTATCATAATCTTACTATAAATCACATTATTTACATAAATTTATATTAAAAATCTTGTAAAATTAATCTTGGATAACGTTTATAATTTGTGTAACATTCAATAAATGAGAAAATACATCAATTATAAGCAAAATATGGAGTCTATAACCTCAGAAAACTTTTAAACTATCAACTTAAACTACAAGTACAGTGTTTAAATATATTTGGAAACAGAAAATATGGGTTATTTAAAACTATCAGTCGAATATTATGTGAAAGATAAATGAAAATATGAGGCCTCTATCATAAGTAAATTCAAGAATTTTAAGCAAAACTACTGAAGCAGAACAAGTCAAAATGTATAAAATATGTAGTAGATATTTGGAGAGATAATAAATTTAAAAACTGTAATTAAAGAATATGAGTCCTAAATTAATAATATATAAGGCCTACTTCCGAGAAAAAAAAATAAGAAAAATCATACTAAAGATAACGAAGAAGTGAAAAAGTATGGATTTACAGGGCAAACGAAGTTAAAAAATGGTAACTAAAAATATGAGGTCTCAATTTTAATAAATACGATTAAAAATATAAGGCCTGTATTCAGAAAACTGAGAAAAGATACGCTAAAGATGGTAAAGGAGTGAAAATATAACGATTTACATGTCTAAATAAGGGTAACAAAGAATAAGAGCCCTATCTTGATGTTGATTTAACACCAATATAAGTTCGTAATAATAAAAGGCCTAGATTCACAAAAACTAAAAAGGATAGAAGTGTTAAGGTGCGAGGATTTAGGGAGTTAAGAGGCCCGTAATCTTAAGTTTATTGAAAAAATACTTTCTATATTTCTGCTGGAGAATTAAATTACCCGAGTGAAGTAGATCTTTCAAAGTGAACAACATATATTAGCGATGCATATTATGAATGATTGGAGGCATGAAGTGTCACGGTCAGGTGGGGGAATAGTGGGAGCAAAGTGGATTACAGACACGTGGATGTCGGATTATCTACACTCCAGACGCCCTGCGCAGATGGGACACAAACTATATAATCCGAATTCACAATAAGGGTACAAAATGGCGATTTGGGTCCCCTGTAAGATTAGCTGTTGATTCAGTAAGGCTGAAGGTGCGTAATATGGAAATTGAAGCCCGCTACTAACAGGTTTATATCATGATCTTTCTGCAGCCACCGTCACGGAGATCGATGAAGAGAGGGAGAACAAAAATAAAAAAAAACTAAAATAAAAATCTAACTACTCCAACAGAAAAATAAATAGTGTAATAAAATGAAGTAGAATTAATGGCGTAAAGAGAATAAATCCTAAGAGAATAACGTTTTTCGATTGTCTACAACTCCGACAAAAATCAGACAAATTCAATTTTACTGAGTTACAAATAAGTTATATAATAATAATAATTTCTTTTTTTAAACGTTGACGACAAAGAAAAATGTAAATGAATTTTTTTTTGTATTATTTACATTTCTAGTTATTGACTCTTAATGAGTTTTATGCGACAACGTTTTTCATAATCGGCAAAAAGTCTGACGAAATTTTCCAATCATCGGCAGTTTTTTCTAGTTTTATTTAGTAAAATTTACAAATAAATCTTTTAAAAAAAAACGTTTTCTATACAGAATTTTTACTTATCGTCAATTGTTCGCACGCGCTTCAAATCATTGTGACGTTGCACGTTAACAAGTATTATTATACAAAAAACGTTTACACAAGTCTGCTCGATACTTTCTTTAATATTACGGTAAGTTTTCTTAATTACATTTTAAAAAATGTATAAATAAACGTTATAGAGAAGACAGTCGACTTTTTAAAATCCTTTACATTTTTTAATTATTGTTAAAAAAAAACGTTTCTGTTATAAATAAATTAAATAATTTTTACTATACAGAAAATGTACATTTTTCTTTACAGTAAACGTTTCTACTTTAAATATGTTTACAGAATTTAGTCATTGCCAATTGAATTTTTACGCTAAAACGTTTATAAAAATTAGCTAAAGTATTGATAATATTTGCATAAACGTAATTGGAGCCATCAGAAAAAACGTTTTTTTATGTATATTTTAAAAAATAATGAATTTTTTTCTAAATTTAAATTTATATGATTTATTTTTTCGTTAATTTATAGGCATTTTCGTTACATTTTTCATTAATACATTCAAATAGCTCCTGGCAAAATTTAAAAAATTAATATACAGTTAATAACATTTTCTAGAAATTTGTGTACATTTTTTTAATGTAATTATTAATTTTTTTATTTTTTTTTAAATGTTTATACACAAAATATAAATGCGCCGAAAATTTACGAACCGAAAAGATGTAATATGCAAATGAATAATTTGTAGAAAACCGCAAAAAATAAGAAGAAAAATTAAGTTTCCGAGCTTAATTTTTTAAAAAATTTATTATTATTATTAT